TCTCTCTAGGGTTTCTCAGGGGTGCATTGGCCGCAAATGGAGGCCATAAAGGCCTTTAAATAGGGCACAGACCCTGAGAATTAGGGTTTCACTTAACAGCGCGGACTCGCCGAGTCCACGCATCGACTCGTCGAGTCCTTCATTAAATCAGACAAGAAATGCACGCTCCTACTCGGCGGTCTGAGCGTCTACTCGCCGAGTCCCTCCATAAAACTCAAGATAAATGAACTTTATAGCATACCTGGAAATCCGGATGTTACAAGATTTATCGATGATTCCAAGTCGTTATATTGATTGATCTACTTTTGGGAGTGATGTATAAGCTAGATTTAGTGAGGTTTTTAAAGTGGGATTTCCAAACAATATACTCTGTATACCAAACGAACCCTACCTCCGATATGATCCTACCTAGTTATTCCTTATTTAGATCTTGAAGTAGACTTTGGGATTATTAAGGAATCTTAACCCTTAGGATAATAGTTCCATGAAGTATGAAATTAGACTGAGACTTAGCGTTATGTATATCTAGGTCTTTTGGAAAAGGTGTAAGGCGAAGCTCTGCCCAATTCACCAATCACCAGACACTTTGTCATGTGAGTGCGTAGTTGTTATCAAGATCATAAACTAAATTAAAAGTATTATTTATATGAGACATTAAATGCTTGCATGTATTATTTGTGCTATATGATATTTGTATAATTAGGATAATACAATTGAATTAGAAACCATATTGGAAATCGATTGCCTCTAAATATAAGTCTTGCCTTAGGTTAAGAATAAGACTTTTAAAGGATACTTAGTTGAATTTAAGTTAGATATCGATTATGTCTCATGAGTGGGGTAGAGTGTATGAGATTAGAGGGAAGTGTTTCTCTTCTTTCTTGGATGACTAGAAATGGTGGGTCTAGATCAGGCAACTGACAAGTATGTCTGGGTCATCGACTAGAGTAGATGACAACATTTGACTATTCTAGGCGGTCTAGTGAATTACGTTGCTAGCATGGACTTATAACCCATGGACGTAGATAAAATGAGATACCATATTTATCAAATCTCTGAACATTGGTTGACTTATATGACTTACACTGGCCAAGGACACCCCTAGTTGTGTGGTCAATCAGATACTCAGACAATTCATCATGTAAGGTGATTCTTCCAGATGATTGTCGACTTAGGATCTGTGAGGATCAGTTGGGTTGGGTAGTTGGTCTTAGGTCAAGATTTCATATTTATAATTTTGACATCATTGGTTGCAGGAATGATATTATTTATTATCATTAAATTATTATGGACTTGAAAACCCTACGTATCTCACCAGTTTTTCCCAAACCTGACCCACTCATTTTTATGCATCACAGGTAATGGAAACAAGGTTGCAGTAGTCTAGTTATAATGTCGAGTGGGATAAAGAGATGTGTCTGTAATAAGTAGTTTTGAGGACCTTTTATAATTTACGCTATAATATATGTTTGGATATGAACGAATGACATCCTCAAGGTTTTAATAAAACAACTTTTGTTATCTTAAAAATGTTTTATTTAACTGGGAATTTCTGCATTTCAATTTACAAAAACGTAAAGAAAATGCTTTAATTGGTTCTGAAAATAGGGGATCTCACAATATGGAATTGGATTCCAATTCCTGACAGATTATTTTTCGATTCCAATTCCTTCAACAACATTCTAAGAACCAAACAACACCTTATGATTATCTAAATGGATTTTCGAAAGGCTTACGATTCACATACTTAAGGATATGTGGATGGCATGAACTAGATTATGGATTTTGGTGTGAAGTTGAGAGGAAGGAAAATATTCAAAATTTGATAAAAAATAAATAATTTTATTAAATAAATATAAAAAAGAATTATCGAATTAATAAAAAAATTATCGCGTGTTATTTAGATTTAACTTTTAATCGGCCTAATTAATCAAAATCATCTATTGTCCTTTCCATAAAATGAATCATAAAATTTCTTAGATTATAACAGTAGTTAAGATTATAAACATAAACATCTTCGATTAATTGGTTTGGTTAAAAGTTAAATACAAATAACATACGATTAATTTTTTATTAAGTTGATAATATTTTTCGATATTTTATTTAATATAATTATTTAGTTTTAAAATTGTGAATATATTCTTTAATAAAAACATAAACTTTTCAAAAAAAAAAATAATAATAAAACATCTTATAGCTAATAATAAAATAGTTAAATGTTTATAATTAGTTTAGCATATTTTAAACCTTAGGACATGCTAAAAAAAGTTTTGAAAATAAATCTTTCAATTATGTCAAAGAAGAATTAAAGGTATATAAAATGATGTTTTTATATTTCAAACAATTTTAAATAAAAAAAATAAAAATTAAAAGTATTTAATTATTATTGTACCACAAGGATCATTCATGAAATTTTGTCCAAGAGTTATTTGACTTTTCAAGATTTATCTTTAATAAAAAAAACATATTTTTTAAGCGTTGGGTTTGAAACCTGTAAAAAAGATAAAATAAAAATTATATATAAAACAAACATATTTAATTGAATGAATAAATCAAAATTCATTTTTATATTATATTATTTTATTTTTTTGGAATTGTGATGGAGTTGGTTGATGTGTTTAATAGTAGTGTTTGAATCTTAAAACGTCCAAAATATTATTATTGTTTTCTGATTGACATCAGCTCCCACATAGATGTTGAAATGGATTAATGTGTGCCGTTCAAACGACACAATTTACCATTTTTCAATAAAGTTTAAACTGGTTTATAAAGATAACTAAATTTGACTTTACTCATTTTTCTACATCGGAGGAAGTTAGGTGACAATCGTAATGATAATAAATAGACAAATTTTTATAAACGGTCAAATGTGGTTTTCAAAAAGTGACATACTCATGATATCTTTAGAATGTGTTACACTGGTGGTCCTTATGGATCAAAATTGAGCACGTTTAGTCCTTATGTCTGTCTATGTTAGAATTTCCATTATATCTATAGTAAAATGCATTTTTCCCCTCGGACCACGTTATTTTGAATATGAAATGCATTGTGGATCAATTCTTCTTGATGATAAACACCAGATCTTTGTCATCAAGATATTTTCTCATATTATTATTCAATCAACATCATCAACTCCATCATTTAATCAAAATGTCAGAGAGGCAAATCATTAAATCAATATAAACTCCAAGATCAATTTTATCCATTAATATTCATTGACGAGTTTTGAATGGAACAACCATGATTGATTAAAAAAATGAAGAATAGATTGATCATGAAAAACCAGCAACACATACAACTTCTCTGTGATGAAAATTGATGGAAACGTGAAGCAAGTCTCTTGAAAGATATGTGATATGGGAAGCAAACTCAATTTCTTGATAAATAAAGTGCAGTGAAAAATATTTAGATACGAGAGAAAAGAACATTCATCGGACTCCTCCGTTTATATTGAAAATGTGACATCATATGTTGGTTGCTCCCTCCGTGACTGTCAATAACTCCACTACCGTCACCACCATTACTGTCATCAATCACAACCATCTATGCCATAATCACCAACACCAATCACCACCATCACCCACACCCATATAAACGTCACCTATACCTAGTTGGACCCTGAAACCCCATATGATACTTGAACAACGTTGTTCAAGCAAACCATCATCATCGGTGCATTATTGTCACCACCACACCACCAACCACCACCACATGTAACTCCAAAAACTTAGAAAAAAACCTGGAAAATATCTGCTAAAAAATCCCACCATTCAGACCTAAATCTAGAAAAAAAAGGGCTAGGGAAGAGAAAATGGGGAAATAGTTAGATGAAGCTCAAATCATCAATTGTCGGTGGTGGATTTATAACTAATGGTTCTGGAAAGCAACTTTGGTGTTAGAAGCTCTAATCATCAATAACAACGACATAGATGAAGCTCCGAGGGTGGTGGTTTTGTGAGGTTAAAGGGAATCTGATTTCTTCGTATTTGGGAATGCACCAGGGAAGTAGATGGGGAATGGCGAAGGAGTGGCAAGGTTGGTGGTGTTGTGGTACAGGGCGACTAAGATAGTTGTGATGGAGTCCCATCGATGGAGATGTCAAAAACGGGAGGCAAGAAGGGTTAGATAGGGATGAATGGTTGATGGCCTTTTAGGTTTTTTTAGATTTTACAAAAATATTCCATGTATTATTCATTAATGCCAATAAAATCTCATATTTTAATAAAACAGTACCTTTTCGCCAGGTGACATTTTCTCAGCTCTCCTCCAACTTTTTTTCCCGCCCATATTATCAAACTGAAACTCCAATTCTACCCTTGTGCTACTATATAATCTCATCTCCTATTAATTTCGCTTCTTTTTTTTTGAAATTCGAATTGTCTGTGAATCAACTACGTGATTTATATCAAAAAATCATTAATTCTGAAAACCTAACATTCCAAAGAATCAGCAATTACTTAGCAACAAATCAGGAAACAATATCATCTCCAAATCAACAATTAAATCATAGTAACCGGTGAGGATTCTCTCTTTTATCTCTGTTCGATTTTCTTTAACAATCGGAAGCTTCAGGGGGTATTGAAGAGCTAAAATAAGGGAACCCATTTGACGATCGTCATCATTCCAAGTTTAGGTAAACTCTTTTGGTCTAGGGTTTGTTTACCTTGATGATTTCTTGCTATCCATTTTATGCATTTTGATTATTATCTTTATTTATGTTCGATTTACATGTCCTTTTAATACATGAAGTCACAAGTGAAGAGCAATTTCATTTTGGGTTCGGGTCAAGTGCCAAGCTGTTGGAGATGGCGGTTTACTGAACCTCCAAATCCAAGAGTCGCATCTCATAGAATCAACAATAATCATCAAGAAATTAGGAAGAAAATCTCCTTTAAATTTGAATCGGATAGCCTATCGATTTCGTATACACATCCAATCAATCCTACGTGTTCTTCCTCTGCTGCTTCGCCTTCTCCGTCTCCCCCCTCTAATCTCTCTTTTTTAGTTTTCGATCATACATTCATATGCACCCCGATTTTGATTTTTTTTGGAGTTTTTTTGTTGGTTGAACAGATGCTAAGAGACATCACCATGATCTTCTTCATTTTCTAATCAAGTATCTCCATCTCTTTTGCTCTAAATCCTAATCCCCACATACTTTGTAATTACCCAGGTGCCAAACTCATCTTTTTATTACTTTACTGTCTTTTGTTCTATGAAGTCTTTTTGTGTGTATAATAAGTCACATGTTTAACAAAGTTAATGATTTTACTCCAACCCTAACTAGACAGACAACTATCTTTTGGATTTTAGTTATCGTATGGATTTCTAGATGCCCCCTTACAGGTAACTAAAATTACTCTTTCCCCATAACCATTCTCCTTTTGGTTCTGACTATCCTTTATTCATATTTCAATTTGACAGGAAACCGAAAATGAAATCACGATTTGAGTGGTGAAGATTTCAAGTGTGTTATCTTACTTATTTTATATCGTTTTTAGTTGAATTCTATCCATTTAAATCCCTTTTTGTACCATTTTATATTTTTGTAGGAAAATGGCTTGGGAGTATGCAAATTTGATGCGACTAGGCAGCTGAAGGTGTTGGTTCAGATGAGGAAACACATGCATATAGCAAAAGTGTTGTCGAAAAATGGAACATTAAGTAGAAAGTGATACACTAATACTTGGGAGGTTATTAGAGAAAAATATGGATGTTGGCATATTATTGTATCCAGTTTGACAAATTCTTTAATATACAGAAAATGGTCAAATTCAACCATTTTTTTAATATACCAAGACACTCTGAATTAACTCTTCAAATTCAACCATTTTTGTACTATATTTTGTATATTTTATTTCATGGGTTAATTTGTATTTTGATTGATCAGTTGAAAGAATTTATATTAACCCAACCCGAGGCATACGAGATTAAGATTGGAGATCAACTTTTTCGAAGACTAGGAGATCCTTCGTTTGATGATGTTTTTGCCGATGACTGCAACGAAAAACATAATAATGAGAAAGGCTACATCCATCCCTCAATCGATGAACAAGACAAAGATGAGTTATAGTTAAAATCTAACTCTACAAATTCTTCATTTTTTGCTCCTATGGTATTATTTGCTAATATATGTCAAGAATAAAGTAACTTAGAAATCTAAAGTTCAAACATCAAATTCGTGTAATTTCAGATTAATTACAAAGGGCGCCCCGTGGAAAATTGGCCAAAATTTAGTAGTCTTCAAGTGTCGTTTCCTATTTTGTTTATTTTGGAGAAAAGGTTAAATGAAAAAGGTACTATCATTGATTTGTTTATTTTGGCATCCTATTTTGTTTTTGTTATTAGAAAGTTCATACCACATTAAGTAGAATCTTAATTTGGCATAGTTTATGGTAATTCTTTAAGGCATATGCCCCCCATATTATTTTGTACAACATCAGGTACCATAACCTTAATTTATATTCTCTATTGTTATAGTACTCTATATATTGTTAATCTGAATCAATGTTGTCTAAAAAATTGATACTTTGTCATGGTGTAATGGTTAATGCAAAGAGGTTAATATCGATAACAGTTCATAGCTAAACAAAACTTAAAAATATCAAATGGATAAGATCATCACAACTTGATCGCTAAACAAAACCAAACATTGTTGAACAATACAATATAAAATTTCATAATTTTTTTTACTAGCAGTGTACTCTTAACGCCAGAATGGTGGCTGAATTTTTTCACTAAGTTACGAATACAAATATTTAATTGGGTTTGTAACTTATCGTATGATAAACTTCATCAAATTTTAGAACATAACAACTTGTTCCACTCTCATAAATAATATAGAATATTTTTAACTTCTATACATTAAGATAATCTTTTTAAATATCTAAGTTGTAGTAGTAATATTCGTAAGATAGCAACATGTAACGGAAACATATAAGTATATTTTATATTTTCGATAACAATGTATAAATTATTAAAAAAATACATATTACCGATTAATAAAATGTAAATATATTGCTAATAGGTATAAAAAGAAATAACAGTTTATTGTTATTATGTGTTAAACATAAATATAACGTAATTATATTCTTATTATAATTAGAAAGTAAAATTGATAATTTATATTGATAAAAAGAAAAATATTGCATGTGTAAAGTGCTATTTTTCCATTTAACCCAATATAGGGGAAATGTAAAATATAGCAATGTACTTTGTTTGTTTCTCAAATCAACATCTTACTTTACCTATTTCTTTGACAAAACATTTTTCGAATTTAAAATTATTTATTTTTGTAGCAATGTACTTTCAAATTGTTTATTTTTGGGTAATTTGTTGTAAAGAATAAGGTATATAAAATTACTGAAAATAAATTGCTATATTTGTATGTGAGACACCTTTTCGGATTTTAAATAATACAATTATATTACCATGTATGACTATCTTTGTTTTTTTTCCGGTATATTAAATTTTATATTGCATTGTACAACATGATGATTTTATCATTAGTTGTGAGTTAAAGAACATTGTTTATGCTTTGAAACCATTTTACATATTAACTTAAAATAACGATGATATACTTACGAACAAAACATTCAATGTTACATAAAAATAACTATTTGCAAATTTTATGATTAATCGTTACGGTTTATATAGACTCTATGTTATTTTATTTTGTCAAGAAGAAACATTTCACTACAAGGAACTATTGCATCGAATGTTGTATAAAAATATCTTTTTGAAAATTTATGATTTATGATTATACTTTTTTGTTATTTTTGAATAATATTAGTTTATTGCTTAAAACTACCTATATTCTATTCAAATTTATATTGTATTGTACAAAATCATGATTTTATCAAATATATACAAATACATAACATAGATTGGATACTCATAAAACTGTAAATATTAATTTTAACTAATCATTATAAACTTACATACAAAACTTCTATCTTCATAAATTAATAAATATTTTGCAAATCTTTTGATTAGTCATTACCATTTGGAATTATCAATAGTCTTTTTTCTTTCTCAACCGTGGTTTCTACGGATTTAAACCTAGTAAAGAAAATAATAAAAAAAAGATAAATATGTCATTTCATAAGTATAACCATAATTTATCAGAGTTAGCCAAAAGTACTAACCCTGTTTGAATTTGAAATTAACCACAAGGACCATCAGTGTAATGTTATCTAAAAATATCCTTAAAGTGCTACTTTTTGAAAACCATGGGGATCATCTATGAAATTTTGTCTAATAAATATGCAGAGAACAACATTTTTCAACAACATGCAAATATCATTTTTCAACAACATGCAAATGGCATGGACGATTTTTTACCCACGAGTATAAGGTGTTCTGTAACACTTGTTTCGAGTATCAGTCAGAAAGCACCATTTGGGGGAAATGTTATGCATGGACTCGACGATTTGGGAGCCCAACTCGTCGAGTAGGGTCGAGGCATTTCAGACACGGTTCGGAAGAGACTCGGCGAGTGAGGGTTGTTTAAGGAAAACCCCAATTTTAGGGTTTGCCCCCTATATAAACATCATTAACAGCCTCCATAGCCTCCCATTTGCACCCTAGAAGTTGTTCACGGCCGCAAACCCTCTTGTGAAAGAGTGAGAGCTTTAGTGAGATAAATTGGTGAATTTGGGAAGGAATCCAAGTTTGGAGAAGAAGAATCAAGGGTAAACACTAGATCTAGCATCTAGTTCGTCTTGGACATCGAATTGAGGTATGAATCTGTTACCTTGAGCATATATTTTATTTGGGAGTTCATGACCAACTTTGAGGAAATGGAAGCAAGCTTAGATATGGGCCTATCACAAGGATATGGTTCCAGATCTGGACCCTCTTAGATCCTAAATATCATAAAGTTGCACCTTTTATTTGATGGGTTTTGCGCATTCTAACACTCCTAAGTGTACATGCAACCCTAAATACCTTGGATCTATGTTT